ATGTCTTGTGCCTCGGTGCTCTGCGACCTGCACAGTCGTTCTATATTACATATTTCTTCAAATGGGATCAAATCCACAGAGTTTCATATCTGCCTGTTCGCCGCTCTGTGTTTGCTTGTCATGTACTGGATGAGCCCAGGAGGTTTAGCACTGTGGTATAACTCGTGTACACTGCTCATGTCTCTTTCCTGAGATAGCAATATTACAGTGAGCACACAGCACCCTCCTCGCTCTCCTTTGTGCTCCCTTATCTATTTCTTCTCTATTGCTTTCATTCATCCTCTCTATCTTTCTCTCGCTCGTTTCAGTCGTTCCTCTTTTCCCTCTGCTCCATCTCAAATGATTCGACTTGTATCTGTCTGCACCTCTCTTTCTCTCAGTTCTTTCCTCCCCCCTTTACCTCCTTCCCTCTCCTAGACAGTTGACTGGTATGGCGACACCAGACTGCGTGTATTTTTAGCGCCGCCACAGATGGGGCCATGGCAGCATGTCAGAGACCAGAATGTTCTTTATCTCAGCTGTCAGGCCGTTCTCCGGGATCGAAATGGATCCCGACCACTTAGAGAGGGAAAAAGGGAGAAAGGAGGACTACTAGCTTTCCCTCCTCTGTTTGTACCACTCCTCAAATTGAGGGTTTTAGTCATGTCTTTTGCTATGGTTAAATAACTTCTGCTGCATGAGGAAGGTGCGAATGGAAGGTGGTGAAAGGAAATACTCTCAGGTGCTGTGTCAGCCCCTTTGTGGGAGCTGTATCTAAACCTATGATCGAGAGGAAGTGAAATTGCGGGTCAAAAAAAGATTTATCACAAAGGCGGGCTCACTGAAAGGACCGAGTGCAGCAGATATCGCCGCCAGGCTTTGTGATAAAAAGATGTTTTCCAACAGACTGAGTGGAAAGAAGATCCAGCTTTGCTAGTGTCCTATAATCACACAGCTGTGTTTGTTACTGTGACCAAACCTGCTCTTAAAAGGCAAAATAAATGTCTAAAGCAAGCTTTGTGCATCTCTGCATTAACACAATACACCCCCTGGCATAGCAGTGATTGTGTATAGTAGAATTTAATTCACCCACAACCTCTAGCCGCAGTGCTGGACAACAGAGAACAGAAAGCGCCTCTTTGTGTCTCTGAAGATCTTTGTTTTTTCCTCTCTTTTGGAGAGCGAGTAGAGGAATACGCTGCAGGCTACAGCCGGGGGTCAAGTGGTTGACTTTGTGCATCACAGTTTGGAGTCTGCAGAGACTCTCCTCTGGCAGCGTTCACTCACTGTAGCAGCAGGCCGGCCGTCCACGTGAATATAAAGGAGTGGCGGGAAACCGAGAGAGGCAGTGAGAGAGGGAGGTGATGGGTGACTGGGTAAATCAATCAGAAATTATCCAAAGTTCAGTTTGTCGGGCTGTCACGTTGTGTCGAGGTCACTTGGATTGTATTCAGCAGCTGTGAACAAAGAGCTAAGGTATTACTTCTAGTGTGTCTCAGTAAAATAGACATACTAGATAAAAAAACACACTATTTAAAAGTGTTTTGCCTCCAAGTCCTAGACAAATAGCAATAAGTGTATACTGCTTGTCTTGTCAAGTATATGTAAAGCATAAACATTAAATGCACTACACTACCAAAAGTATTCAGTCACTCATCCAAGTCATTTATTTCAGGTGTTCCAATCACTTCCATGGCCATGGGTGTATAAAAGCACCTCGGCATGCAGACTGCTTCTACAAACATTTATGAAAGAATGGGTCGCTCTCAAGATCTCAGTGAATTCCAGCATGGTCCGTGAAAGGATGCCACCTGTGCAACAAGTCCAGTTCCAACATGAATGCAAACCTGTGCACAAAACACAGTCCATAAAGACATGGATGAGTGAGGTTTGGGTGGGAGAACTTGACAGGCCTGCACAGAATCCCAAACTCAACCCAAGAGAAAACCTTTGGTATGAATTAGAGTGCAGACTGCCAGGCTTTCTCATTAACATTCATGTTTGGGATGAGCCCTCATGAGCGATGTGTCTCCTTGCAATAGGGAACTTGACTCAAGTTGTTGTATTCTGGCTATATTCCTGTACTAAAGCAAGGTTCCTGAGTGTCAGTGTCATTTTGCAGTAAAATTGTTGCCCTGCAGCATTGACCTAAAAAAAGGCCTAAATTTTACCTTTCAATTTGCTGTTAAAGTTTTTACCAACATTTACAGTATTCTCTATTTATGAAAACTGTTATTTGTTATAAAGAGGTTTTCTCTATTTTTATATAAAACAGCAGTTTGTTATTTGCTCCTCATTTAGCTCCTCTCTACTTTATGCTAATTTAGCTAATGTTAGCATGCTAATTCACTAAACTTATTTGGTAAATAAGTACTTAATGCACCAACTAGCCAATATAGGAATCTAAGAAGAATGCCCAAACTTCCTGTATAAAAAGTATAGTCTGTTTACCTGCATGAAGCTAAATCCTGCTCAAACAAGCCTCAGCCTACAAGTAGAAAAAAACAGCTTCTGCTACTAAAATCCTGTCCCTTAGCTAAAGATGCTGCATTACTCATATACAGCTATCTGTTTACAGGGATCAAAATCACAGTGAGCATCCTACAAAGCTGATGTTGGCAATGACAGTGTTGACGAGTTGCTTGCTGAACACTGAAGTCTTTGGAAAGGAGATAACAGCTTTGACTACACATACAAATACACAATAATCAACGTATTGCTGGTTTTGTTCTTTTTTAAATGACATTTTCCGCCAATGAGAACTAATATACAGTTCCATCATCTTTATCCTTGAAAAATCTTGCTCACAGCAATAATGTTAGCATTATGATACAGTAAAATTAGGTTTAAGTGCCTGATTTGGTGTCAGCTCGAATGTTATTCTGGCCTAGAAACACAAACAAATGATCAATCTCACATCTATTTAATGTTTTCCTCCATGAAGCCATTTCTCCTGGCAGCACAGTGGGAGGGAGACTTGGTTCAATAATGTGTCTTTCATCGCGAAGCTCTAATCAAGCCCCAAGGTCTCCTTCTGAATCTTGTCGCATTTCGGAACCTCATTTCCATTCCTTGTCCCCGAAGGCAAGGTAAAACAGTCCCGAGGTATATGGGCAAAGGCTCTGTACTTTGTACTGCATGAGTAGCCTTCACCTGCAGCCCGGTCAATTGATATGGAAATGACTGGGAGAGCCAAGTTTCTCTAACTGAAAGGAAATAATGGAGCATACACAGACATAAAAAGCAGAGCGGTAAACAGAAAAACAAAAGAATGACAGTGATGACTGAAGCAAATCGGGCGCTAATCTAATCGTCAGCTTCATTTGCACTTTTCAAAGACAAGGTCACACGAGTCATCAAGATGGGGGGTGGGGAAGGACAACAAACAATCCTGCTCATAAGCGACTCGGGAAAAAAAATGTTACATCAAGTTAAGATGAGTGCTAAAAACTCTGCAATTCAAGGCTTGCAAAACTTTGATGTTATCTTAAAAGCATTTGCATCATAATCAAAAAACATCAAATGGGCTGAAAATTTAGTCACAAAGGACTGTTGGTACGAACATTTGCCTGTACTCTTGCGGGAACCTATTGAAGTAAGACTAGCATAGCTGGTTTATAGTTTAATTAGGATTCAGTTTTGATGTATTTTAAAGTCTTAAACCCGAGAACGATCAAAGCCCTTCAGAGGATGCATCCCATCGCAATCTCTAATATCGCCGTGCCATAACAATGTCCTCTTCTCACAAAAAGAAGACTGCAGATCTGGGGGCAACTTCTATCTCTGCAATAAGTCAGAATATGCTAGGAAGCTCAGCAGAATGCCAATCAATATCACTTCCCTGTGACTACAGTAATTATCATCACCATCCACAGGAATAATACCATGTGGTTTGAGCTCTGCAGAAGGTCAAGAGCAGATTGGTGGCACATGATGTTTCCATGGTAGCAGTTTGTGTGACCTGCGCTACACCTCGTGCCCATGCATTTAGGCCTTTCTATTTATATTGGAAGTCATTAGACTCACCAGTGTGGAGTCTTTAATCATAAAATTACAAAAAAGGTGACAAGATTAGCTGAGGCGGGTTCACTGACGTAGGCGACTGTGACTGAGCAATTACCATAAAGATCTGATGATGGGCTGAAATGCCTGGGATTAGACACCTGTGTGACAGTCACTCTAAACTCCTAAATAAGGTTGTTGGTGCAGTTTTCTGACTGCAGAAACACTGATGTTTATCAGGCCATAAATCACCACTTAATTCATGGTGAAGTTAAACTGTATCTAATGGCACTGGGACACAGCTTAGCAGAGGTAATTAAAACTAAAAGTGAGGAGTGGAAGTAGGCTGCACAACTCACTGTATCATTTTCCTTTAATAAACGCACCATGGCATGTTAGATCCTCCTAGGATTATGGTACATTTAAACTGCACAAGAACTCCAGGGATCTCAGTGTGTCCAGTTAGGAAGTGCACAGTGTTGTGAACCAATTTCAGCAGCTTTGGTGAAAATGAATCTGACAGCTGGTGCACTGGACAGGCAACAACACAACCCCCAGAAGGGTAATGGTGTTACAGGAAGAGACCATTTCTCCCTCCTTATTCCTCCTGATTCGTCTTTTTCTAGTTCTGCTTATTGCTAGTATCCTTGTTAGTGTTGGTAGTCCTGTTTTAGACTGTTTAAAAAGTAGGACATTTTCAATGAATCAACAAAAATATTTTTATATTTACAGGACAGTCTAGGCAATGAGCAACCAGAGGCTTTCTTCTTCTTCTTTTTGTAATTTTATAAATTTCTTTCTTACAATTTAAGCCCAAAGAGTCATGCTGATAGAGTAGATCAGCTTTATCAGTTGAAAAACTGAGAAACTGAGTTGAAACTGCACTTCTTTTTCGTATATTAAGATATCTTCGGGATTAGATGTGTACTTAACCTCGTGTACACTGACAGAAAGGGGAGTTTCTGGCACACTTCAGATCAAACTGCGCTGTGTAGGTGGCTTACGCCACAAAATGAGTTTGACGTCCCTGAGTTTCTGAGTTGCAGTACCACTCCTGCCGCAGGAGGTGTCAGTAGTGAGCAAAGCAGTGCGGATGTACCGTCAGCTAAAAGTGAAGACAAAGAAGAGTAAACACCAACAGTGCAGCGCTTGCAAAGGTACCAAGGTGCAAATTTCTATTTTATTTTCTCACCCTGTCATAATTTGAAGGTATAAAGTCGTTCATTTCTTTATAACAACATAACCATGCAGCTAGCGGCTAATGTTAGCAGCTAGCTTCAGCTGCGTAATCAGAAGCAGCGTAGTTGAGCTTAGCTGTCATGAGTTGGTGTGTGGGGGTGTGGAGCTCTGCCTAGCAGGCTCGATGCTCCGTGTTGGTTTATATTCTATGTTACAGGATCGATAATTTGCTATTTTTAGTCTTGCTTCTATTACACGATCTTCGTCTGTGCTTCTTGCGGCTTTTACATTGCCTCTTTTCCCTGCAGATTATTTTCTGACCCAGATAAAATAAAAAACAGCGCAGCAGCAGTAACAAGGCTCTGAAAATGGACACAAGAGCCTTGAAGAATCCCTACCCCGACTATGATGGGAGCCTCGCATCCACACAGGCGTTTTTTGACTTTCAGGGAAAGGTAATGCGTTAAAAAGAAGTGTGCGAGCATGTCTTTCATGTCCACCATGATATTTACAGTTTTTGTTTTGTATTTTTTTAAACCCTTAGCTCACACCAGAGTTTGCCCAGCGGCTGAGCAGCAAGATCAGCGAGCTGTTAGGTGTCATGGAGAATGGGCTTAGGTCTGCTGATCCCAGAGACTGCACTGCTTACACTGGCTGGGCAGGTGATGATAGCATTACACAGCTGGGATAAATAAGTCAAGTAGCAGGGAAATGCATGTAACTGTGCACATGCTGTGAGACTGTTCTGCCGTTTACCTGTATGCAGCTTTACTTCAGTGAGACCTTCTTTTTTTATGTTGACTACTAATGAACATGAATTATTGTGTAATTATGTCTTCCAACAGACTGATACCTTCTTCTAAACTTAATTAATTAATTAATTAATTAATAATACATATGAGCGAGTGCCGTGGTGCCATTTAGCATAACCTTTAACCTCCACTAACTTAACTCCACTAACTGCATGTCTTTGGACTGTCTTGTCTTTTGACCACGCATACACAGAGAGAACATCCAAACTCCACACAGAAAGTCTCCGGCCAGATGGTGGATTCAAACCCTGGACCTTCTTGCTAAGCCAACATTAAGCCAGCTAATGTTAGGCTTGAGTGTCCTAAAAATCATACTTTGTCTCCAATAAACAGTAGTTTTATAAGAGTTGTTTAAGTGTCCAGGTACAACAATGTTAGAGCTGCTTCAAAGAACATTTTGGTAAGGCTTGCTAACAGCAGCTAGCAGAGGCTAACAGCAGCAAAAACAGCAGTGCTTGGAAAAGTTCAGGATATCCTCAACAATTCACCTCACTATCACTGTCATTAGACAGAAGGGGGCTTAAAGGACTCATGGACTCACATTAGACTTTTACAGCCTCTTTCAGAGTAAATAAAGGTGGACACTTGTTCTTCGTCTTGAATAGCATTGACAGCTGAGGTAAACAGTACAAATACATTCAGTACAAATAAATGGCAGCCAGAGTTGTTTGTCCTAAAGCAGCGATGGTAGCTAGGATTATGCAATTGAAATGGGAGGGCTAAGAAAACAAAACTCAGTTGACTGAAATCTACTAGCATCTAATTGCAAGATACAGTATACCTTTAAATTAAGAAAAAATTTTGGGGCGCTTTCCAAACTTTCAACATTGTGTCTTAAAAGGCATCGCCCTGCTCTATCTGCACCTCCATGATGTGTTCAGGGAGCCCTCGTTCCTTCACAAAGCTCTCGAGCATGTCACCCAGAGCCTCAAGTGCCTGACCCGGCGCCATGACGTCACCTTCCTGTGTGGGGATGCGGGGCCGCTGGCCGTGGCTGCTGTCGTCTTCTATCGCCTTCAGAGAGTGCAAGAGAGCGACGAGTGCATCAACAGGTCAGCCTCATATAAGTCGGTATAAGTAATGAATTTAGGTGTACATTAAAGTGTACTACGTAACCACCACTGTGTCTGCAGCAGTTTTCTCCTTTCTTGGAAGGTTTCTCTTTAGAAAAATGTGTTTTGATGCCAGATTTCTTCTCCTGTTTGACAGGGGATAGTTTTCCTGGCCCAAAAAATGTCAAATGCACTAAAGAAAATACTGAAAAAGGCTTTTTATTTTATGGATTTGCTGTGTAACGTCACTCCACTGTTACTGAAACGCTCTTTAGCGCTCACATTTGCAGCATTGTTTCCCTGCAAAACCTCACCTCCTGTGAAAGACTTCTCCTTGAGAGTCTTCTGTTACAGGTTAGAGGCACGTCTGCCTCTGTGGGGATCTCCTCCATGATGTTGTGAAACACATAGAGCACCAGTCTGAGCCTGTGAGCTGCAAAAAGAAACATTTTGTCCCTGTTAATAATTTAGACCCCCACCCCCCCCCTCCGTAGCCATTAAAATATGCAGTTTGTATAGCCTACATCATTGTGTTGCGTGCCAGCATGTTTTCTTCAATACAACTGCACTTAGTATTATTGAGGCTATTACAGCTTTATTAAGTATCTGCAGTATGAATCAAATGCACTCGAATGGAGCCGATTGGACCAGTTTAATTTCCAGCTTAATGGTCCGGATCTAGTTCATTTAACTGCCGGAGCAGGAATCGCATTTATGATATAATTAATTGTACGCGCTTATAGGTCGTCATAAATAGAAGGTCTATTTTAAGATGTGGTTCAGTGGTGCAAAAAATCTGTCACAAACTTCCTGTGCCTCTCCACCAGGCTGATGCAGTACCACCAGACGGTGGTGAAGGGTTCGGGCGGGCTGCCAGACGAGCTGCTGTACGGGCGGGTGGGCTACCTCTACTCACTGGTCTTCATCAACCAGCAGCTTGGAAAAGACAGGATTCCAGATGGATACATCCAACAGGTGATTCAGAAACAGTGCGCTCAGTCCAAAGTTTTTTATTTTGTTGTATTTTCTTTGTGAGAGCGACAGTTGCCATAGAAACCTCTAGGTTTAAACCATTTTCTCTCATTTATCTCCACTAATTTATATTTTTGCTTCCTTCCGCAGATCACCCAGGCTGTGCTGGAATCGGGTGAGCACCTCAGTAGGAAGTTCCGGGTCCAGAACCAGAGCCCCCTGATGTACGAGTGGTACCAGGAGCAGTATGTGGGGGCCGCCCACGGCCTGGCTGGCATCTACTACTTCCTCATGCAGGTGAAACAGGATCCTGGTTTTAGATGCAAGTGGAGTAGTCTTGTGCTTGTGCAGGCCGTATGGGAAATAATTTTCTGTGGTTTTGCAGTAATTCGGTGTATGCACTTTCATTCGAAGGGATCTATGGCTGCACCAAGAACTCTGAAAGCTGAAGTTATTAAATTTTCAGTTCTAAGAATCAAAGAAAACATACAAATCCCTCTCCTCGTTTAAGAAGCCAGCCTGCAAATATTTGTTATGCCATCTAAAAAGTTAATTATGCTAGCTCCAAAGTTAACTTTCTAATAAGTGCTCTTGTGCAGAAGCTAATCTGTCTGTTTCCAGGGTACCTCGCGCTCTACCAAAGTTGCCACCTGTCACCTTTTTTTTCCTCCGCTGAACTTGATCTTACCCCTCCTTCACAGCCTGGCTTTGTGTTCTCGGAGGAGCTCGTGCACAGGCTGGTGAAACCCAGCGTCGACCACGTCTGCCGTCTTAAGTTCCCCTCGGGAAACTACCCTCCCTGCATGGGGGACGATCGAGACCTGCTGGTGCACTGGTGCCATGGATCTCCGGGGGTCGTGTACATGCTCCTGCAGGCCTACAAGGTAAAGACTGAGAGCTTGAAAATTTGATTACTCATTTGCAGAAAGAAACAGTGAGTCTGTTCAGTCTGTTTGTGTACCAGGTCCTACATGAAACTGCATTTAGTTAGTCTGTTCACCGGAACAGTGTTAAGCAGAAAAGTCAGCAGTTGGCTAAAAGTAATGCATAAAAGTGCAGTTGTATGGATGTTGTTAGGGTTCAAATATTGAGGAGGGATACAGGAGGAATTCCAAAATAACAACACTGATCCGGCCGGGTGGAGTCAAACGATGATTTTACTGAACACGCGTGGAGAGATGAACACTGTTACACAATCAGCATCGATCTCTCTCGAACAATACACAATCAGTTGTTTTTATACCATCAGGGAAATTTATAACGCCCCCTCATGCGTTATGCAGATACAATATATGCATACGTCAAATCAAAACCACAATGACTTTTAACACAGTTTGCAAAACAACATCGCCTTGTCTCCATCCCAGGTGTCTTCCTGTCGCTGCCGGACGCTCGCTTATCGTCTGGAACATCAGGCACACATTCTGCAACAAACTGTTCTTTTGCAGGCACAATTTTGCAGTTGCAAGCTTTTACAAAATATTATTTGAACCTTCACCTAACCCTGAGTCTAACTGCTGTGTAAGTGTGTGTATGTGTACGTGTGTGTGTGTGTGTGCGTGTGTGGCTCGACCTCACACAAACTTTGTCTTATGAGAAGAGAGGCCAATTCTCATGTGCATAATAACCTAACTGAAACTATATTTGTAATATGTTGAATAAATGTTTTAATCAAGAACTTCTACTAAAAGCTTAAATAAAAAAGATATAAATGAATAAAAGACAATAATGAATAACCTGGTTATTCCAATAGCATCCTCCCAACAGCTCCTCAAAGTAACTTACACTTAGACTCTGCTTTAGTTCCACTTTCACAAGCACACCCTGCAAAAGCCTGCGCTTCCTGTCTACTTTGGCACAGAGTGTACTCAGAGTTAGGCCTTTCTTTTATAACCCAACAGAATCAGCACATACACATTTAAGATTATAACAAGCATTCAAAAGCATTTAAGATTATTGATTTAACTCAACAGTTTAAAGTGGTTATAACTGCACCTGTAATAAAGGCTAATTGGGTACCAATATGTTTAAACATCTGAATACAATATCAATATTAATTATTAATGCAATGGTAATGATGATGATTATTAACAATAGCAGCAAAATATTTCTCTAATCCCCACAATGTGTTAGCTGTAAGTATGAATTTAAAGATTAAACTGCATTAATATTTTTGTTAACTGTCCATAAAATTAAATAGTTAAAATGCATAACTGTGCAAAAGTCTTGAGCCATCTTTCAGCTCATTATATTTTGCTCCTTGTCGGCACCTATTTCCAGATTTCCTAGCAACATATAATGAAATGAGGGGTGGCTCAAGACTTTTGCACAGTACTTTAGCTAGGTGAACTGGTGGATAAGCAGTTCACTTTTCATACTGTCATTATATTAATGCTGCTATCCTGTATATATTGTACATACTATTGTTTGAGTACTTACGATTGTTTTTTTGTACTTTTTATATTTTACATTTATATTTATTATTGAAACTTGCACCAAGGGAGTGGCACTCCAATTTCGTTGTACTCTGTACAATGACAATAAAGGCTATTCTATTCTATTCTATTCAAACCAGTCACTAAACATTGTGGGCAGCTGTTAACTGGAAAAGTCACTAAAAGCTGCGGGTAAAGGGTTGAAATAAGTTGTTACTTATGGATGGTTATAAACAGTTAGCTAAGCCTAACTGACAAATTAAAGGGGTTCTGTGGGGTACTTTGTTAAAAACCACTGTCTGAGAAACACACGGGTCATCGAAAGACTCATAGTGCCATCTTGTGGTGAAGTAGAGTCATGTTTTAATCTCATAAAATTCTCCCTTTTCTGTCTAAATTGAATAATATTGCCAATGAATGACATTTAAAGGACAAACAGTCCTCACAGAACATATCCACAGAACAGTTTATTTGTAGTATTTCTTAACTTATCGTGCTACATGAGACAGAGGGTATCGTTTATACAGTACCGCTGAGGTTCTCTTTTTAACTTGGAGGTTTTTTTTAATTCAGATCTCACAGAAATCAAGATCTGCTTTATGCTTATCACAGTTAAGATGATGACATGTCCCTCATTCCAGGCTTTCAGAGTTCCTCAGTACCTGGGCGACGCTCTGCAGTGCGGGGAGGTGGTGTGGTGGTACGGCCTGCTGAAAAAGGGCTACGGCCTGTGCCACGGCGCGGCTGGTAACGCCTACACTTTCTTGGCGTTGTACCGGCATACGCAGGATCCGAAGCACCTGTACAGAGCCTGCATGGTGAGAGGACATAAAAGCTCTTTAATAATGTAATCACTCCTGGGCTGCAGCGGCCAGTCGTCTGATCAAATAACCGCAAATATTAATTGCGTCGCACCAGCAGTGCATCCATCATAATTAGTGTCCAAAGGCTTGATTAATGCCTCCACTGTCTGACGCTGTAGAGTTATGACTAGGGGTTCCTCATAAGAGCAGGACGTTTTTTATCCCTGAAATTTTAATGTGTTTGTAGAAAGCCACGAGAAGTCCTTTTATAATTCCATTTTTAAGTCTCTGTCGCGTCCTCCCTCGACGCTCAACGACTTTGATGTGAGACGCAAAAGTCATATTGAACTTCAGTTCAAAGCTTAACCAATCAGAACGTAGTTGGTCACTCGCCAGCCCTAAAATTGAAAATTATTCCAGAAACGATGGGCATGTGAGAGGCAGGGCCTTTTATGTTTATTGACAGCAGGTCGGTCGCTGTCTGTGCGAGTTGGCGTCAAAGCGTGGCTCGCTAGCCGCTAGCGAGCTGGTCTTGGATGCACTCCAGATGGCGAGAGTTCCACATGTGCTTTCATTAATATGAATCTATTCATAGATGGAAATAGACTCTTCAGATGTGTTGCCTGCCTCCAAGCACAACATTGTGGTCGTAATCCGATACATCGACAGATGCTCGGATTTCACAGAGAAGGGCCCGATTTTTAGGACTTGTTGACATTTGCTCGCTGTTCTCCGGAGACGGATCAGCGGTCCAGTGTCATTACTGTTGTAACATTACTTTCTCTTTCGCTGCAGTTTGCAGACTGGTGTATGAACTACGGCAAACATGGATGTCGGACACCAGACACTCCCTTCTCTCTCTTTGAAGGTAATGCATAATGGCAGATCCAACCTTCCAAAAATATCATGTTATGCACAAAAGGGCATTTTTTAAGTTTTTGTTACATGTGTCACAGATTACAAGGTAAACTAAGCACTACATTTTTAGTGATGCCATTTTTCTGGGTTTGGTACATTGTTAGATATTTAAGACTTGCTGTTGCCAGGTTGCAGGCATGGCTTACATTGTAGTAAGAATTACAAGTGCAAATAAATGAGTCATGCTGTGAGATTACAGGAGTAGTGCAGTGGAAATTGAATAAGATTATTTTGAAAGGAGCTAAATTGGCTTCTGTGGTAAGAAATATGAAGTTGGCAGAACTTGTAATCACAGCCAGCTGCTTCACACATGTTCATCTGTCCCTCACACATAAATGCACAATGTACTGCCAGAAGTATTCACTCGTCTGCCTTCACAAACACATGAACTTGAGCGACATCCCGTTCTTAACCCATCAGGTTTAATATGATGTCCGATCATGCTTTCGCAGCTATAACAGTTTCAACTCTACCTGGAAGTCTTTCCACAGGTTTAGGAGTGTTTATGGGAATTACTGACCGTTCTTCCAGAAGCACATTTGTGAGGTCAGACACTGATGTTGGACGAGAAGGCCTGGCTCACAGTCTCCGCTCTAATTCATCCCAAAGCTGTTCTGTCGGGTTAAGGTCAGCACTCTGTGAAGGCCAGACAACTTCTTCCACACCAAACGTGCACATCCATGTCTTTATGGACCTTGCTTTGTTCACTGGTGTGCAGTCACGTTGGAACAGGAAGGGTCCATCCCCAAATTGTTCCCACAAAGTTAGGAGCATGACATGGTCAAAATGTCTTTGTAGTCTGAAGCATTAAGATTTCTTTTTATGGGAACCAAGGGGCCAAGCTCAACTTCTGAAAGACAAGCCCACACCTTGGCCCCCCCTCCACCAAACTTTACACTTGGCACAGTGAAGTTCATGGAGTACCATTCCCCTGGCAACCGCCCAACCAAGAGTGGATGGAGAAGTGTGATTCGTCACTCCAGAGAACACGTCTCAGCGTGGAAACCAATTCCATAAAGCTCTCTCCATACTGTTCTTGAACTAATCAGAAGCCACATGAAGTTTGGAGGTCTGTAGCGATTGACTGTTCAAAACGTTGGTGACCTCTGCGCACCATCCACTTCAACGCACTCTACCATCTACCACTCAATGTCTGAGTTGTTAGCATTCCCAATTGCTTCCATTTTGCTATAATCCCACTAACAGCTGACTGTGGAATATTTAGTAGTGAGGAACTTTCACGACTGGACTTGTTGCACACATGCCATCTTATCACAGTATCACTCTGGAAGTCACTGAGCTGCTAGAAGCAGTCTGCAGGCCTAGGTGTTTGATTTTATACACCTGTTGCCATGGAAACTTTTGGAACACCTGATTTTGAATGGGTGAGTGAATACTTTCTGCAGTGCAGTGTTAAAGCAGCCAGGGTTGCAGGTTTAACAAAAAGGGTACAAATATCAGCTTTCTAATAATTACATCAACCAAACTGATTCTCTGTTACTAAGTGAATGTAGAAAACTGATAAGCTGCCTTACCAAGATCAGCTTTCAGTGGTAGTGGATGTATCCACTGCAATATTAAATTATGAGATAATGCTATAGCTATATTTGTGTACAACACACAGACGAATGTGTTTTTATTAGAGAAACATATAAATAAAATACCAGAATCTTCAGTCTTTGGATTTCTGCCCCAACAGCAGAAACATGGTGGAGAGGTTCAGTTCAGTCTCTAGCAACAGCAGTCAGCTCCAGCTGTCTGGGTAGTCTGTTTTAGAGACGATTCAAAGTCCTGCTTTGGTAATCATTCAAATATAACTGTATAAAAAAAACCCATAATGACTCATAAGTAAAGTATATAATTCATCTGATAGGAATAAGTGATACATGCATGAGACCACAGCTAGCTGACTGGGGAGGCCATATTATTGGTCGTGTATCTACGGAAACTAAACTAACTAAACAGTGTCCCTTCTTCTTATCAGGCATGGCAGGAACCATCTACTTCCTGGCTGACCTTCTGCATCCAATGAGCGCCCGCTTCCCGGCCTTTGAGGTGTAGAAAGTGTCTGCGGGTAATGATCCCAGACCCACACTGGAAATCATTGAATAAGAAGACCCACACCGCTCTGCTCTTTGTCACACATGGGCACCGCAGTCATGACGGCTGGCTTTTAATTCAACATTCAGACATTGTGCCATGTTTTTCCTGCTTTTCCCACCTGGAAACGTCATGTGTTATTAACAATACATTTCCTGTAATGTTTTGGAAACGTGTCAAGGTTGTGAGCTTCCCTAGCATGCCCCAGCAACTCCTGCTCTGTGAACTAAAAGGAAGGGAACTAATTTTAAAATGAAAACATGGGAAAGCTGACTGTAATTTTTTTTTAGCACTTAGCTGTATATATCTGTCTGCTCTCTGTAAGTTTAAATGCTTTTGTTTTCTATTGTCTTACTTGTTTTGGGTGTAGAAATGTCTGGTGCAATGCTCCGTTGCGTTGCACCAGACGTAACGCAGCTGCCTAGTTTGTCGATGTTGTGCAGCGGTGAAGAAAAAGCACAGAGGGGCAGCAGAGAGCCACAAAGTTCACTCAGTGGTGACTTCATTAGCAGTGTATTTATATCTCATCAGATGGTTTTTTTTTTTTTCATTATCATTTGGTGTATGCAAGCAAAGTTTGGGTTTAAACTGGCTTTAAGTGATAAATATTGTATTGCAATGAGTTGAATTTTCTCTTTTTCTTCCTCTGTGGGACCATTAGCTCATCTAACCCAGTCTTTTCCATATAAGGCTCATGTACCAAGCAGCAACACAATGCCATCTCTCTTTTTTAAGCTCCCTGCCAGAGCTTCTTTATGACCCACGGCCAGCTTGGTAGGAGGAGGTGGTGAAGGGGGAGGTGGCTACTGTACCAGGGAGTCTTGAGACCTCAGTCTTCGCAGAGCAAACGCAGCGTAGGAGAAACTCAATACCACCAGTGGGAATGAGAGTAAAAATAGAGCTCATCTGTCCAGGAGGGGAGTGGTCTCCAAAGGCATGTGCTTCACTGTGGTTCACGCGCTCCTACAAGTGTCCTCCAACGTGTCCGTTCTGATGCTCAGCAGCTGATTGCTTTGTGTTACATAGACGATGACAACTTAGGCAGCCTAGCAGCACTATAAGTGTCTTTCCTTCCTTTTGGACCTACTTTAGAGAAAACATTTATTCTATTTTAACAATCGTGTGTGTGTGTGTATATATATATATATATATATATATATATATATATATATACACACACACACACACACACACACACACACACACACACACACACACACACACACACACACACAACTGGTTGTACTTAAGGAAGATCATAAGCATGTAGTAATGTGCAAAAGTCTTGTTCCATCCCTCAATTCCCGGTATTTAAGGCAAAAACAGAATTTGTACAATTCTATCGAGCTTGAAAGTCAATATTTGGTGTGACCACCTTTATTCTTCAGCACAGTCTGAACTCTCTTAGGCAGCTTTCTTGTTATTTCTTTAAGTCGTCTTCAGGAATAGTTCTCCAGGCTTCTTGAAGGACATTCAAAGCTCTTCTTTGGATGTTTAAGGACAGGACTTTTAAATCTTGTCCATCTGTAGCTGATTTTTCAGGCCTGACACTTCTGCTTTGGTCCTCGACTCCAGTTTCCTCAAATCTTTTAAGGATATCCTGCACACCATATGCACTGGAGACCTATTGTTCAACACCAACTGACAGCAAGAAAGTCTCGCTCCTTGGAAGCAAAGTATTATAAATGACTTTTGCACAGTACTGTAGCTGGTATTTATACATAATTGGCATGATATTTTTCATTAATAAGTTTATATTAATGAAACACGCAGGCATATATAGTCTCCCTCACCTAAACCAATCTGCCCTGAGCCTTCTACAACACTCAGTGTTAACACACAGGGATCACTGCTTCTAGGCTGTTACCCACGTGGAGTCACATGTATGTGACAGCAGAGATGAGCATAAATTTAACCTAAAAAAAAAAAAAAACATTTCTTCTATGAAATTCACAGCTTTCTAAATTTTCAGAACATTTTATATTTGAAATAATAGTTTGTATCAATGGTACTGTCAAGTTGACAAGTAGACTTTCATAAGAACAATACTATACCAGAAAGACTGTACTGACAGTACAGGCCCTGAGGCAGAAACCAAACCAGCAATAAGCACACCAGTTATCACTGACATAATTTGAACCAATGAACATGACTATAAAATGACCTGTGACCACCAGAGCCTCCTTGTTGTTTGGACCTATGTGTTGTTCCAAATAGAAAAAGAACTGCCAGAGGAACTGAACAATTTAAATTAAGGATGGAAAAAGGATACAAGAAGACTGGGCACCGACAGAAAGTCAGTCAAAGCACAGCTGCAGCAATAATCGTGCTAACCAGCAACTGACCTCCTAAAATGACACCATGGGCAGTGCATTACTTGCACAGTCTAGCTCTAAGAAAGCTAGCGCTTCAGATTTGGCACAGGGTTTATAAATGGAAATGGCTCACAACACATAGCATAATGCCATCCTCTATGGACGGCACCCTAAGCGAAAAAACACTGCTGGCTCTTTAAAGGAAAACTACAAGATTGAATTTTGCTAAAGAATTCCAAAAGAAGACTTCTGAAAGTTGGGCGCACGCGGTCCACAGACGATTACCATGTGAAAGGTTTTGGGAAGACTGGTAGATTGTGTATATACCAAAATGCTGGTTGACAGGATGGCTCCCAGTCTGCAGATGCCTAACAGAACAATGAGGAAACTGCCAGAATCACACTACAACCTGTCCTAGTATGTTGTCAGACTTGAATCCAATAATCGCCTTTTTAAAGAGAAAAGCAGGGCAGCTGAAATCAAAGAATATCAGGACTCTGTCAATACTGGCGTCCCTCCAAACAGACAGCAATGAACAAATTATTTTAAAAAATGAAAGATTCGTATGAATCTGACAGCCTCTAACCAATCAAAGACTCCTGTTATCTCTATTTTCCCTGTCTTGTCTCTATTTCTGCCTCCTTTTCTCAATTGGTTTTTTTTTTGTTGCCTTCTTTGTGCCTGTTTCATGTAGCTGCTATGATGCTATATTACCTACTATCCAACTGTTTACTTTTAGGGTCTGGTCACTATCTCCTACCTTCATTTGTGGTTCTGCCCTGTGATACCAAACTAATTATCTAATTCGAACCAAGAGTCAAATTCTACCCAAACTGAACTGATTGGATGGATGGATGGACGGACGGATGGACGGACAGATGTCAGCACAACTTAGAGTTGGGAGGATGGATGGATTGATTCAATTAGATTTATTATTTATCCTTTCAGAAATTTGTGCTTCGGGGCGACTGTCAGACAAATAACCACAACAACAATATCACAGTTACAGACATTAAAGACATCTATGTCATCCCACATCATAACAAATATCACCTGGATGTGTTCAGCAGAGTTGTACAAGGTATAAACGACCTCGGGGCGCGAGGTCCTCACAAAGCTGGTGTACTGCTGTCTTGACTATGATGACTGTGTGTTACATCTCTGTGAATGTCTCGCCCCGTCCCATCACTCATGACTCCCAAAGTTGGCACATACTATGCTGTTGCTGACCTCTTACTGCCCATGTTTACAAGCCTACTGAGTTTGGTCTTATAAACTACAGAGAGTGGAAACACCAGACAATAAAAGAAAAATTTAAAATGCTTTCTACAGATAAACGATTAAAAAGAACCTCTATGCATCTATGAATCTAAACTGTTGGGTAATAATTGTATATGAGGATTAGTTACTATTACTTACATAAAGTAAGGATAACCTTGATGCTTTTGAAATTGTGATTTGTAATAGGTGGGCTATAAATAACTTGAAAAATGAAACTGCACTTCGCAGAATCGCAGGTAATGATTTTTGATTTTTTTCCAGTTTTTTAAATTAAGTTTGTTACATCAAAAAATGTATCAAGAAATTCATTTATTAAGATTAATCTTATTGGTTCTTTCTGTTCCGCTGTCAGCACCATGGAGAGCTCTGCTGAAGATGGAAATGAAATTGACTTTTAAAAACGTCATTTATTGTGCTATGAATGTAGTTCTTAATAACATAACCTACATTATGTAAGCTTAACTTTGCTCCAGTGTATTTGCCTATTTATTAATGGACAAACTGATCAATTTTTAGTTAGTTGAAGCCAGCAAATCTGCACATTATGAATTTATTTGTTACTTGTCCTATTCTGAGGGTAGCGCTGTGAGAGCAGATCTTTTTAAGGTCTTTAGAATTGTTATAAAACCTGTTGTTTTCAGGTTATCTGCCACTCAGTGTCAATGTTTTTAACAGATGCCTGAATGGAGTGAACTTTTCCAACGATTTTTTGCCCGGTTCTGTTATTTAACCATAAGAGGAGGAGCAGTGGGGCTGTTTAAAAATACCACCCTGTAAATGAGCTCCTCACACCTGGAGCCCTCCTCAAGTGAGCCTCAAGGAAGCTGAGTTTTCTGCATTTTCACTCACCAGCTGTACATCTCTTTCCAGAGGAGAGAAGTCTTAAGTGTCAATGCTGCCAAAAGCATTTCGGTTGAAATTGTAATGCATTCACAGACTCTTTGAAATCTTGCAACCGTTCTTTCAGCCTTCTAAAAATAGCCCTGTCCCCTTCTAAAGGCCTACTCCCACTGCTCCGAGGGCGTACAGCTCTCCTTTCCGTTTGCCCTAAGAAAGTTAAAGATGTTCCTATGTGTCATCTGATCTGCCCATTAGCATACGTGACATCACATGCCCGGAATAAATAAGAGGGGTGCTTTGACCATGGCTAAGGACCACACTGTCTTGGGACTTCAGCTTCTCATCTCCTCCAGCTCCTGCTCTCCAAAATGGTGTGTACAAACTTCTGTTTTGGACCTTTTGGGTGGGGCATTGCTGATGGAGTTACCTTTTTTTCCTTTTAATTGGTTTGGATATGAGCTCGATAATGACCCCAAAACTGAGACTTTTGCTAGTGAGGCAAAATGAAGACTGGCACCCAGGACTAGAGTCTTGGAATGCATTCACATGTCTATGTTTAATGTCTAAAAAGGCTAATATTCTAATGCAAAGAGGCCGTTTTAGAGTTTCAGCATCCATCATGTGTTCAGAATCCTTTGGACAGTTACATAAGCTGGATATACTCATTTTGTTTTTCTTTATTTCTCTGTTTTCTGTGTGTTTGTGTATTTGTTAATGTGCCTTTTCAAATGTGACAGACTGAGTTCACACCGGACCAGATTGAGGGTAAGTGAAGAAAAAGAAAAAGAGAAATTTTGCCTCATATATGAAGGCACCAACCTCTCAATCAATGTGCTGGTAGGTATTTACGTCTAGCTTTTGCAATTGTCACACGAACCAAACTCTCAGAGTAGCTCCAGGCTTACTTAGATGAACTTTTAATCTGATTAAAGTGCTAGAAAAGTGGAAGCAGAGGATGAAGAGCGCCATGCCATTCTACCAACTTCTCCAGCTGTCGGGAAAGATTTCAGACATGTCTATTCTCAGCCTTGTCTTGCAAGTCGCCATTGTCCTTATTCAGGAGGGGCGTTAATCCTTAGGTCAGGGTTTAAGATGCAGTGCTGGTGGCATCA